AAGCACAATATGCGAAGGAACGATGGATAGGAGGACAAAGCCAAGGAAAATGAGGACATGTCATCATGTCGGTGTTCTGTAGGTGTTCAAAACTGGACATGATAGACTGCTAGCGGTGGATGGCGAATACAGTATTACAAAGCCTAATACTTGTACAGTTATACCCATGATCCTTTAATTAAAGCATGCATAGCCACTGCCATTGTAAAACATAGCTATCATTATTACATTTTAAATATTTAAATATATGATAATGTTAACATACTTTATTCACATGATGATCATTGTTAAAGATGTGACAATGTCATAAGAATGTCAGTAACAAAGTCATAAAAATGTCAATATAAAACAATGTCATTGACAATGTTCTAAGATTGTTAATGACAATGTCATAAGAATGTCAATGACAAAATCATAAGAATGTCAATAGAAAACAATGTCAGTGACAATGTCATAAGAATGTCAATGACAATGTCATAAAAATGTCAATGCTCATTACAATGTAATATCATGTCATTCTTCAAAAATTAAAGTCATTGTTAGAAAATCAATGTCGTTGTTTAAAAATCAATGTCATTATATGACAATGTAATACGATGTCATTGTTTAAAAATCAATGTCATTATATGACAATGTAATACATGATGATGTCAATGTTATAAAAATGACACAATTTCAATGACATTGTCGTGACAATGCCAATGATACTGTCGTGACAATGACATTGTCGTGACAATGCCAATGACATTGTCGTGACACTGCCAATGACATTGTCGTGACAATGCCAATGACATTGTCGTGACAATGCCAATGACATTGCCGTGATAATGCTAATGTAGTCTGGACATTATCAGCCCACTCGTTCATGCACTTTAAATAAACTGCCCATGATTTTTCTCAACTACATTTATAACTTTTGCTTTATTTTAGACAGAACATGTTAGCCATGTCATATCATTGTATGTTCCCAATCATACCGTACTACATTTATTACTTTGCTTATTTATTTACAGAACACGTTATCAAAAAAGTTATGATTACTTTACATTTAGGCTAAAAATTTTATCTCTTAGGGCATCCTCATTGGAAGGATTATTATGAGATTAATTTGGTGACATGGAAGTTTTTTAGGGAATTATCATTGAGTGATATAGATTATTTAATGAGATTATTTGCTACAATAACCTGGAATCAAAATATGAATCCGGATTATTTTAAGATTATTTGAAAAATATATGTAATAGAGATTAATGCAGGACAAAGAAAAAATAGATTATTTGAAGATGATGATTGAGAGACATAAACGAATTTTGAGATTATTTTATAATTAATTATATAACAATATTTAAATGGTAAGAATCATAGAAAAAATTGATTTTTAGAGATCATGAATGGAGATGCTCTTATCTGATGAGTTAAATTTGCAATTGTACGTATATGGATAAATAAAGTATGGTGGCCAACATCAAAGTAATTATTGTTGACTAGTTGTACAGTAATTCCAGTATTCAACTCCGGCCTAGTTTCCTCAAATCTATCTCTGCGATTTGTTTTGTTATTGTGAATACAATATGGATTTAAAATCAGAGGAGAAAATGGTTGAAATCAGAGCAGATCTGGAAAACAACAGAGCAGAAGAACGAACAAAATATCAGGGTAGCTGATGTGAGGCCGTGGAACCACGAAGAAGGGAGGGGACAATGAAATCATCGAAGAATTAAAAGGAGATCGAAGAAGGCCTTTGGCCAGCTGCCGCTGATGTGTCGCCATTCCATCTCCACCAAATTGTTGCAGACCTGTACAATCTGGGCCTTCCGTCGCCTACCGACATGTCCCCATGCCGTTCGGCCGCCACACTGTTGCTGGCGCATCGCCGTACCATGATGTTTGCACCACCGGCCATGCTCCTCGGCCATGCTCCTCTGCCTCTGCCTCTTGCGTGGGAACTCGTCACACTGAAGCAAAAATAAAAGACTTGAGGGCAAATATGGAAGACACAGGAAATTAGGTCTTATTTAGGAGTTAAAAAAGTCAAGGTCTTATTTAATTACATATGGAAACTTAAGCTCCTATTTAGCACCATTTCTCTTTAATTTTAATGAGCATGTAACTTATTCAACTGAATATTAGGAGCTTAACAATGAACATCTGACTTGTTTTATTTTTTCTTTTATAAAAATTTATTAAATTATATATATAATCCACTCCTATGAATTTCAATATGAAATTTAATGTAATATGATATTTTTGAAATATGCATTGATATGACATTTTTAAAATAAGCATAATACTATTTTTTGGCTTGATATTGCAAAAAAATTGCATTGTTTTCATCAATCGGACATGATGGTGCTGAGAGGCGGTAAAAGCGGTGAGAAAGACATCTATATTTGTATGGGGTTTAACTATTTTATATATTTTTTTAAAAAAAATCAATTCTTATTTTGAAATTTTTATTTTACAAATATTTTATTAAAATGTTATTATTTTTTACGATTTTTATGATTAGTCTTATTATTTGTGATTGTTTAAAAAGGAAGATACCAAAGGTCCAAAACACATCAATTTTTAGATTGCAATTACGGAAACCTGGCGATCGCTGTGGAAGGATCCGCCGCCGCTGCACATGATGGTGCTGCGGAGAACTATCAAATAAGCCCTCGAACTTTGATAAAAAGTGCAAATAAGTCCTATTACAGGAGGCTTTATCCGGCTGTCGCCATTTGAGGTTGTTTCCGGTGGAAATTTTTTATGAAATTTTTTGAGTGTCTTCTTCATTATAATTAGTTTACCCATACCAAATTTCAACTAAAAATTCAATCGAGAAGGCAGTCAAAGGATTTTCTGAAATATACTGCGTTGTCTAACTGCGCAGTTACCTTCAAAAATTTATTTGACTGCCTTCCCTGTTGAATTTTTAGTTGAAATTTGGTATGAGTAAAATAGACTTAATGAAGAAGATGCTAAAAACATTTCATCAAAAAATTCCACCGAAAAACACCCCAAATGACGATGGCCGTACAGAGCCTCCTATAAAAGGAGTTATTTACACTTTTTATGAAAGTTCGGGGGCTTATTTGGTAGTTCCCCCAAATCTAATCTTTGAAATTTAAACTGATCGAAGCTTTGGACAGTGCTGCATCTTTTTTTCTGGAATTCACCCAGCCATCGAGATCAGGCCCGTGGCTTATGCAAGGCGGGAGAGGCCCAAGTAACTATAATCTTACTTTTTCTTATTATTACAAAGTAAGATTGTAGTTACTTTTCTAGCTGTATTAACTGACCATTTTAAGAAAAGGAACTACAATCTTACTTTTTCTTATTATTATAAATTCAGCACGCGAAATCAAAAGTAACGTGTTTGGTTAAAAAAGTTGACTCATAAACCTGATAAATGGATCCAATGCGGAGGAGGCATTTTTGGGAGAATTGAAGGAAAAATGTTCAATGGCTTGGCTCTTGGTGTGTCACTGTACTATGACTGATTTTATTTGAAAGGTGTGTCAAAGTTTTTTCAAAAGAATTGAGACTCTGCCTACGCCACTGACTTTGTGCATTAGTGTATAACTGGGTTACATGCATGCATAAGTACGTGCATAACAGACCGACCACTATAATGATTGCTATTAAGTGTTTGAGTTTTGAAAAAGAAAATTAAGGTGCTAAACTTATAGAAACAGAGTAATTAAGATTATTTTTATGGTATAATGTCTTTGTACTATACAAAAGAATTTGGGGATAATGTCTTTTTACTATCTGGAAGTTAAAAAATGACATTTGTTTTGCCTGCAAACCTATTATGAAACAAGAAGTCAGTGTGAAAGATCAGAGAAGAGTCTAGTCCATAGAATTATAAACAATTTTATCCAGTCCTCTAGCTAGTTGCCATTTTTTGGCTTATATTATGTACCATTTAATCGTGCATAATTTGTAGTTCTGTCTAAATTTGCCTTTTGCCCAAAAAAGATAAAAAATACTAAAGCGCCATATTTTAACTCTCAATCTCTTATCTTCTAGTATTGTTTCTTGCTTCAACCAATCTGAAGAAAGGAGTGAATACTCACTTTTTAGTTATTAACTTGAGTTGTGTGATGAACCTCGAAATGGTTGATAACTGGAGAACCTGAAAACCTCAAAAATGTAATGCATTAAAATGAATAAAAGATTTGATTTCAGATCACGTAGGGTGTAGATTTTTTTTCAGCACTGTTAATTGATCTATTATAATATCAATCCCAACTTCAAGAAAATATATGTTTATGTATTTATTTTAGAAAAAAACTATTTTACAGATATTATTCCAAACACTATTCAATCAAATAGCTAGCACTAAATGTTCTAGTTTAGGCTAGAATACTTTATAGGTTTTCAATGCTTTTTTTTATGCTTAAGAAATATTACGGAGTATATCATTATTTGATTATTATGAAAACTAATTACCTTATGTTTCGGTTTGATATATAATTATCTTTAAATAATAATTTTCTCTTAAATTTGCTAAATTATTGATAATGTCAACTATACGCAACCTTATCCCCGTAGTAAAGCACAGAAAAGTTGTTTACGGATAACTCATAATGAAAACCGTGTCGAAATTTGCATATTTTTGATATTGATGAGATTTACCAGTCGAGTTTGAGGTGATCTGTGAATTGATCATTTGAACAAATTTTTTTCAGGTCCGCTTTTCAACACATAAAAACATGTATAACATCACAATTATCATGATTTACGCCATTATATTATGAATGTTTTACTTGGATTGTTTTCTCTTAGACACTTATAAAATATAAACTGACCATACATTTGTCAGGCGAAACTAGAGCAGACCAAAAAATTTCAGTCCCAATAAAAACACCTAATATAGTCCTCAAATCTATTTGTCAAAATATGTATTATGTATGAATTAAATTATTTGATAATTATCTAAATAATTTTTATCAATTTTTGAATGTGAACCTAGTTGGGACCTATTCCTTATCGGAGATTTATCATCATGAAGGTATTTATTTTTATATATAAGGGGAGGAAGGTAAGAAAGTGCATAAAGCCAAGAATCTGTGTATTCCCGTTCATGCCAGTTTGAACAATACCTTCTCCCGATTGGGACACCCAAAACTCCACATACACTATCTCACAGATCATCTCTTACCCCATCACCAACTACCACTGTTCTTCTTCCCAAATCAACGCGACCCAGAGCTTAATCCGCTGATTTCCGGTTCCCAATCGGTACGCGCTCGAATCTGTTCGTACGTCTCATTGTATAGCTCGTTAATTGCAGGTTTCCTGTGAGTATAATGCAGATGAACGGGCAGGGGTGGACGTAAATCCCATGTCTCTTGCGCCGTCTCTCTTACATGCACCGCCGCTTGAGTAGCCCGACGTCCTCCGAGAGGTTTCTAGGATAAAGGCGAGAGCGCGCTGGCAGAGAGGCAATACCGGAAGGAGCTGAGGGATATGCCGAATCTAGTGGTGAAGGTGAGGAGAGAGGCAATTGCGGCATGCATGACATGCCCTCTTTGCAATAAGCTCTTCAGAGATGCCACTACTATCTCCGAATGCCTTCATACGTGTGAGTCACTCTAGCCGCTCCGAATTCCATTCCCTGGATTTATCTTCGAGCTCCGAATCGCGTTTATTTTGTTTGGCTTGCGATGCTGCTTGATTGCTGTATTGTGGTTTTGCTTATCTACTTGATTCTGTTTCATTCGAATCTCGTTCCAGTTCTCGGAGTTATAGCTGCCAGCTGTGAGAGTTATGTTAAGTTTATGAATTGGCTTATCCGCTTCGTGTTAATCTGATTAATGCGATATACATGATTAAGTCGTTAATAACTGCTTCAAATTAAAGACCCCAAAAAAGTCTAGCTCGGAAATTTTGTTTTTTCAGATGTATGCTTCGTTTTCATGTTGAGCTGTACTTATTTGTGTGTCTTCTTTATACTTGAAATTTCTGTTTGATGCTTGAACATTTCAGAAGCTAAATTAGTTCTGCGGAGGACATACCAGCTTTTATAGTTATTATACCATTCTGAATTTCTAATGACTTTTAATCCCACTCATTTAGTCACTTTGCTAATTGCTATATATCCTATGCAACAAGTCATTGTTTGGTGGCATTCCATCTTCATATATTCCTTTGTCAGAAAGGTGTACGCTAGATGACTGCATACTTTTTTTTTTCTTTTTATTATGAACTGCCATTTGTAACTATAGTTTTCAACCTTGAAGATAGAAACCTTTTTTATGGTCTACTTCTCCATGCATCAGTTTGCAGGAAATGCATTTACAAGAAGCTTCAGGATGAGGAGACGGAATGTTGCCCAATATGTAACATTGATTTAGGATGTGTCCCAGTGGAGAAACTGAGGTCAGACAGTTTCTACAACACTCTAAGCTGCTACCTCTTTTTTTTTTACCTTACATGCTAATAATGCTCAAGTACTCTGATTTAGTCTGATAAAATGCTTACTCCATACATTATAAGCTGTGCGTTTTTTATTGATTTCTTATCTGCTACAAAAGCATATACAAATGAACTGCAAAGGTGAAGAAATCACGAGAATTTGTAGTCCCCAGTTTGTATAAATTTATTATGAAAAAATGCCAAAAATAATAATAATCCTGGAGAACTAAGGCACTTCCCATGCATCTTCCCCACAAATAGGGAATGTATCTCTCTATAGCCACAACTCTAAAAAAAATCTAGGTGCTAGTCAGGTGGTGGCCTGCCACCTAGGGCTTACTGAGCCTAGCTGCCACCTAGGCCTCTTTTTAAAATGAATTTTTATTTATTTATTAATGACTTTTAGTTTTTTCCTTTTTTGGGTAATGAATATACCTCATCTCTCTTTCTCTATTTATTGTTTTTAACTGTGATATCATATGGCTATTCATGTTAGCACCTCTTTTGGGAACAAGACTTGGATGTTGTTGTTGTTGTAATGAAAATAGTTCATATACTTCTTGAAAGTTGTTTGTTGTTGTAAGAAATTATATAATAATAAATAGAAAGGTCTTGCTAACAAATTTCCTAAGGGCAATGGTTAAGGAGCTAAAAGAAGAAAGATTTTAATTAAAAACCATATGAGATTGCACTCTTTACATAGTTCAGTGCATTTTCTTTGCATCCCAATAAAAATATCCATATTTTATTCCTTAGATTGTTAAACATAGTCCTATGTGCAACTCGCTAGCATTTTCATTAATAGGAAATAGTAGGATAAAAATGCATGTTCTTTTGTCATTGAAGTAGCTCTTATACTTCCAAGAGTTATAATTTTATTCTAAAATAATGACCATTTCATAGATGTAGGTTCATGAACAATCAGACGATGTCAATTATGAATAAATATGGGGGTGGCGAACCAAATTAGTCTGACACCCAGCTGGCCTTATAGGAAACCCAAACAGCCTGCTATTTTTTTCGCTGACTGGGGTGAAATCAGGCTGCCCAGGCACCACTTGGCCTGAGTTTTTAGAATATTTTCTATAGTTCCTTACATAAATAAGACATAGATGTAAGTTGTACTGGTTGCTGAGCTTTATGATCCATTATGATCTGCAATAATCCAGGGAAAAACATCTGGTGCAGTATCTTGTCTTGAACTCCCTCCATTCCATTTTCTCTCGCTCCATTTTAATTCTCCCCACAGAGTATTTTAATTAGGTTTATTTTAATCAGGTTTAATAATTAATGTTTACATATTTAGAAACTACATTAAAAGTTTTACCAAGCAATAAAACGAAAATAAATGTGATAAATATTAAAAGAGAGCTGTGTTATGCGAAAGAATTAGTGAATGTGAACTCTAATAATGGAATGGAGGCAGTAAAACTGACTTATTACAAGTACTAGTGTAAAAGTTGGTTATGGTGTTTCCAGAGCGGATCATAATTTGCAAGATGTGAGGGCAAAGATCTTCCCTTACAAGAGGCAAAAAGTGAACAAGACACCTGAAATTGAAATTGTTGTACCATCAGTTACAACAATGCCAACAGCTAGGAGAAAGGAGAGATCACTTTCTTCATTAGTGGTGAGCACACCTAGAGTTTCTTCTACTAAAAGTGGGGGGATGACAGGAAGAAGGTCGAAATCCATAGCACGAAAACCAATGCGAGGTGGTTCCAGTTTTTACATTGAGAAGCCTACGAAGAATGAGGAAAATTCAACAGAAGATCGGCTTGCTGAGAGCTCTAAGAGCTCACCGGAGACTCTGAACAAGTTCACCAATAATATAAGACTGGTAAAATCTGTTCTTTTTTCTGCAAAAAAAACAATTTATTGAACTGGTAAAGTCTGCTTGTAGTGGAACTTTTCCGCCATCATGTTTGTGTTTGGAACTTCTTCTTATTATTTCCTTTTGCAGAATAATTCTTCTTCTCATGCTGAACCATCAGACCAACCAAAGGCTGATAGAGGAGGAACACAGTATGCAGGGAAAGAAGATTTGTGGAAACCTCTATCTTGCCTGGTTGAAGCTGCGAACAGGACCAAGCCTTCGATGTCTAGTTCTTCTCAAGGTTATGTCAATGGAGAACCTGTACTTCTTGCTGACAATGAGGATCATACCCGAAAAATCAAAGATAATGGATACAAATTAAATGCTGAAGAAAACAACACTTACGGCAATCATGCTCAGCCAGAATCAGAAAAACCGAAAAAGACGCGAAGAGTTCGAAAGAAAGATTTAAGTTTTGGAGACTTTGGTGTTTCACCACAAGCTGTAGTTGATGCAACAACTGCGTTATATGAAAGAAGCGCTAAACCAATCTGGTTTTCGCTAGTGGCTACTGCAAACCAGTGAGAATCCGATGTGTTACCTCTGTGATTCTTTAGATTAATAACTATATTCGATAGGAAAAGATTATTTTATTAAGAGTGACATAGTTTATTTCTGCTTTCTTTGGTTTTAAATTTTCTTTGCCATTGATTCAGGGAAGGAGAAACACCCTTGCCCCAGATTTCTGCTTGCTACTTGAGAATAAAGTGAGTGCTCTTGATCTAATACGCTTTCCTCCCTTTTTCTCGAGAAAGTATAATATTCTGTTTCTGCGGATTCTCCCCTGCTTTTTATCCTTTGTTTTATTTTTCAAATTTACACCATACAAGCGGTCTGCAGATGGAGTAGAGAAGCAGAACATGCACTTGTATAATCTATCCAATCTGCCAAATACATTCATAGTTTATTGTATTTGTATCGTTATATGTTTCCTCAACCTCCTAGGGATAGAGGAATCTCACCTTCCCCAACACTCAAGTAGGACATACTGGGCATGTTTGGTTGGGACTTCGGCCTATATGTTTACTTGGTGTTGATAGATGCCTCTGATGTGACGTCTCCAAAGTTGCAAAACTCAGAAACTTTCCCTGATTGCTTGGAGTTGTATTCCATAAAAAATACGTGTTCTCTTAAAAAAAATAGTTTGCAAAGCTGAATGATGTGAAATAAAATATTATCTATTTGACTTTTATTGATGCTGGTTCACCTTCTTTTATCACATCTTCTTTTCTTCTTCAAATAGATAAAAGTTCCACTATACACTTCTCAACCTTAGCTAATATGTAGAAGGCTTTGAGTAATAAGATTAAATTAATGTGTACAACATTGTGCAATGTTTGCAATTTGTGGTCCAAAACTGATGCCTTACAGTCTCCCTCCCCAACTGAAAGGATATCAATCCCAACTGTGATTTTATTGATGTGGAAGTTCCTGTATTATTATATTGCAATCATATAGTTGTAATGTACTATAATCGCTGATGTTAGTTCTATATACTTGTGCGGAGTAGTATTTATGGAACCCGTTGTATGATAAGCATGATAAACCACTGGTTTGTTTCGTTTTGCTTGCAGGGATGGGAGCATTCCAGTCTCTTATATCCAAAAGTATTTGATGAGGAAGTTAGATCTGAAGAGTGAGGATGAGGTAATGAATCTAACATCTCTTTTCCAATTTTCCTTCTGATTCTATTATTCTTTTTTCAAAATTAGAGGTACATACATTTGGTTGGAATTTAAATAACAACTAATTCCATCATGTAGTTTTAATGAGTCCATTATAATAAGAAGCATAATGATGTGCAAGATGCGGTAGAAAACCTGTACAGTCAAATCTCTCTGTTTTAGGAAATGATTCATTTGGATTGCCTGAATTGTTTAAGTCTATTCAAGTCTGGTTTGGACTAATATGTTCACAAATCAATCTGTATAGGTTTGTTCGGCTGTTTAGGCCTTAAGAGTAATAAATCCAAGCAAACATGTCCTTGATTACAATCTTGCAAAATAAAGTTGTTTATTGATTGATGTGCAGATTGAGATTAGATGTATGGGACAATCAATAGCCCCAACATTACAGCTCAATAACTTGGTTGATTTGTGGCTTCAAATGGCCAATCCTGAAAAAGTATCAGCCACAATCGGCTCATCCGGCAAGGATTTCGTGATGGTTTTAGCATATTGTCGTCGTCCGGTTCAACCCCTGTTCTAAATACTGCTCATTCTAAAGTTTGTTGCAGTTCTATGTACGAGTATTGTTATATTATTATATATCATGATTCTAAGCAATAATGTTAGCCATTGGGAGATACATTTATGATTATCATCATGTTCTTATATGCATTCTCATTCCAGATTACAATTTAGAACTGGGATGAATCAAGTAACTTGCAGATCAAAATGCCACTCTTCTATTCAAAACCACATTCTTGTGGATGTATATATCTTCACAACAGTTCACACATACAAAAAAGAAGTGCTTACAGTTACAGATTCGTTACTCCACTCATTGGAGATCCATTTTTAGGATACACACGAAGAACATCACTGGAACCCCCACCAGGAAAAGAGAGCAATCCGCTCTCCGCTGCTTCATCTTCGCCGAGAAACAAATCATCATTGGCTCTGAACGCCGCGTGCAACGCAACAACCGCCGCTCCAATCAGAAGAGATAGAAGAAGATTCAGCCAAACGTGAGTCAGTACCAAGCACACCACCGTCACAAGGCTCAAAGCACCCAGTACGACCCTATCGTCAACCGTGCGGTGGAAGATGACCAGCTGCGCGTCGCGAAAGAAGTAGAGTAAAAACCAAGCGACGAAGACGAGTAAGAAGACTATCATCGACATTGGGCGCCATAGGAGGCTGAGGAAGAGTATGAGGAGCATTACGAGGGCGTAGTTCACGCGAAAGTAATTGAGTTTCCGACGGAGCCGAGAAGTTAGGTCGGCGAAAGAAGACGGAAAGGAATACGATGATCGGTGGGCGAAGAGCTCGCGCCATGGCCGTAGCGGTGCGAAGGACGTAAAGTCGGCGCGGCCAGGGATTTCGGCCGCCGCCGACCTCGACATGAAAGCTTCGTAATTATAAGTACTACGCATTTTATTGTAGTTTCACACTAGATTTGGGAGGAAGAAGGAACGCAGACCTGAAACCCTAGGCCCGGCGGAGACTCGGAAAAGAACAGAAAAGAAACCCCCACTTTAATCGACTTGGGTTCTTCAAAGTTAAAAATGACACCTGCTTTAGTCCACGCATTTTTCTTTTCTGCAACTTTGCTTGGTGTACACATTTGGCATACGCATTTTTTTTTTCTTTTTTGTATAGGGCAAACACCGAAAATTATTAGGATGACACCCCAGGCCCCAACCTTGATCCCGGATGGTACGTTGAGGAGGTAAATTGGACTATAATTTCAATATGATAGATAGAGAGTGAGATTCTGTTTCCGGTACTTGCAGATGCCCTATTTAGCATAGTCACTTTCATCGCAGTCACCTTTCATCGCAGTTTTTTCTGAAAATTATCTTAAATTTTTAATTCTGTATGATATTGACCTTTTTAGTTGTTGGTGTTAAAGTTTAGACAATGATTTTAAATATTATATTTGTACGTAAATTATAAATTTTATATTTTTGAAAGTTATTAATAAAAAATATGCTCATATAATTTTCATATTTTAAATAAATTTGTATTAAAAAATATCATTGATCAAATTTGACTATCATTGAATAAGAAAAATCAATTTGGCCGATCTTTTGGGACAGATGAAGTAAAATAAAATATTTGATGAAGGAAATACTCAAAAAATCCCACCAAAAAAAATTATCGAGAAGAACTCCAATTATTTGATGCTGGTCACTGTGGCAGTGTCACTATGCCGGAGTAACTGTGTCTGGTGTCACTATGATCGATGTCATTGTGACCGTCAGTGGTACCGATCAAATGTGGTGACGGTGTCCCTGTGTTCGTGTCACTATTACATTATAATTGTGGTTGTGGTGTCGTTGGCGGCGGTAGATGGTGGTTTTATTGAGCGGAAAATGACCACAGTGACATGTTCGAAGGTGGCATTGACATTCAAAAGTGACATAAAAATCCTATAGTGACATTAAATTATGACTGACATAAAATTCAACGGTGACATGTTTTCCCACATATATAACTTAGTCACATTTTTGTCCTATTATAAAAATGGTAACATTTTTGGAAATTGACTTCAACTTAGTAATATTCAAGGAAAAAATCTTTCCTTTCTATTGACATCATATTACTTCTTTCTTTTCGTTTTTTTTTTAATTTTTTTGTCTTCCACTAGAAAGTACAAAATTCTTTCCCCCTTGTTACACTTTACTTCTCTTATTTAAATTTAGATATTTGAGAAAGAGATATATAATTCTTTTTCTATTTTAATGACTTTTCATTAATATATGGAGAAATCATATTCTTTGTGGCACCGCACCTGGATGTAGTTGAAATTAAATTCAATATGTAATTGAATTTTCTAGTTAATAATTATGTCTAAGAGGATGATATATTTAATTAATGAATGATTAATTAAATTATTTATCGAACTCATAATATTGAAAATGAAATATCAAATATTTAGTTGGATCGTCATAATAATTATAGAAGACCAATAAAATGCAATTAAGGTTAAGGAAAATGATTGGTCAACCCAAGTGTTATTTTGATCCAACTTGCTAAAACTAGCAATAATAATGGGGAGGGACATCAACACCCACTTGGGGATCTTCCTACATGTCTTGTGCACTCTAACGTCTCTAAGTAATCAAGTTGGGACTAAAATAAGGCATAGAGACGGACAAGAGAGTGAGGTGATGTGCAAGACAAACACTCACACCCCTATGGTCCTATCTACACAATATTTTGCTCTTTTATTGAGGGGTGATACTTCCTCCTTCATTTCTCATCATACGAACCTCAAGATAGAGAGCTAGTGGCCTGAGAATAGCTCTCACAAACAACAATCTTGGAGGAAGAAAGAAGCTAGGAAATCCAAAAGAAATAGCTTGAGTTCAAGGTAAGAACTCAAATAATCCTCCAACTAGTTTGCTGTTCATATGACTTTTAAGAAATCATATGGTGGATTAAACAAGAGGTTCCGCACGTTTAAAAGTTTAGAGTATTGTTATTAAGTGTTGGTATTTAACTTATAAGAGTCGTTGAATCGGTAGGAGTTGAAATTGCCGGAAACCGCCAGAAACGAGGGTCGTCTCGAGGTGCAGGGGCCAAAAGCCGCACACCTTTTTCAAAAGCTGCCCGAATTTTGCCTGCTGTCCGGTTGGTCCGTTTTTTATAGATCTAGAACGGGGGATAACCGAAGGGTTTCACAAAGGTAGCTAGTTAAGCACATCATAAGGTGAGGCTAGCTGAGTATATTGCTTATAATTAGTGGGTTGATTTCAAAAGATTGCCTAAGGTGTTTAAATTTGTTTTTATGGATTATTAATGATTACTAATGCCTAAGAATGAGAAGACTATTGTCTATAAATAAATGAAGCATGATATACAAATTTAGAATAAATTGTGTATGATTATGTGTTACGAATATGATAACAGGACAATTGAATTAACTATGAAACCTTATGATAAAAGTATTATTTTGGGTATTGAGAATAAATTATATTTTGATTGGAAAATCAGTTTGAATTGGCTATATGCCCATGAATTGAGAACATGATTGTTCTAAGATTATCCGACTAGCATTAAGATGCTAGCCGAGATGTTAATATGAATTATGATAGAATTAATCCTCTAAGGTTGGGTTGTGAGAAGTTGTGCCTTAAGTAGTCCTAAGAGATACTTTAAGGTGGAAATGTATAAACTCTAAGTTATATTAGGGACAGGCCTTAAAGGCTACTCAAGATAAATTAATTCTAGGCATGGAACTTACTTAGAGGCTGAATAATGGCGACTAAGAGCGGGGCTCTAGCGCGACGTAATGGTGACTAGGAGCGAGGCTCTAGCACGGTGTAGTGATGACTAGAGTGAGGCTCTAGTATAGTGTGGAAATGTAATAGAGCGGGGCTCTACGATAGTGCAATAACGTACTAGGGCAAAGCCCTGTGACGGCGTAATGACCTACTAAAAGTGTTATGATGATCGTGACTAGTAGTCACTGGGAATAGGGAAGGACGTTTCAAAATGAACATGGGCTCACGGGCCGACTACTTGACTTGATATAAAGTAAGTATATTTTCAAACGGGGTAACCTAGGGTTACGACCTATAATATGATATCACCCTATTTGAGGGTCCTAGGAATTGAAACATTAATTATATATAGTGTAATTGTCATTGTACTTCTCAAATGCTTCATAGTACTGACCGAGCCCTTCATGAGGGAGACCACCTCACAATTTCAGGTAGAAGTTGAGCTTGCTACCAGTACCCGTTGCTTCGGGAAGGATCTAGGAGTGAAGACGTACATTGTTCGTGCCTCCTCCATTTCTGTTTTCAAAATAATTACAATAATGGTCATGGGTAATATTTTCTTATAAACTATTTGGGAGCTTGCATTCCTATGTTGTCCCAATGTGGCATGAACACTTGTTGTATTAGTTCTGTTGCTTAAATGAATATTTTACATTATATTTGTGTGTGGATATACTATGTGTGAATGATATTCATGATGTCTAGTATAGTATGGATATGTTTGACTGTGGTTGACTATTCATATTGTATGGCGGTTGTTGATGTGTTCGGGTAGGTTCGGGTCGTGACACTCTCAGTCTCTCAAATAGTACTCACATTGAAGTTAGTCCACATGTTTTTGAATTTATAAATGTCACCCCTCAATTGTACGAGTTGTTCTAAATGTGGCCCTCGCCTCCAAATCTGAACCAACACGTTGTGGCAGTTCATATAATGTTGATTGAAAAATTCAAATTTTATAGGCATTACATGTTTGACACGGATAAAAAAACATTCACAGACATGATGGGTATAAGGGTGAGTACAACAAGAATGGTTGTAAGAACAAATACTCCATAAGATTTTCATTTTGGTCATCTATTACTCCATGCCTGCCTCAAATAAAATTGTAGATTGAAAACACCTAAAATTCTCAGTTCTAAATTCTCTTAGGTATGCTTCATGGATATATTTATCCCTTCTCCTTTTTTATATTACCTATGTCCCGTTGGAGATTGTCAATTTTGATTAGTTGTGAAGTAAGAAAAATAAAAATTGTATAACCAAAGTTTGTATAGAGGAGAGAAAAATAAGAGAACCACAAATTCCCTACTTTGTGAGAAAAGTTGTAAAGATTTTGAGATAAAACAAAAAAAAAAATTAGTAAAGTCCAAAGAGATATAACATGGGCGAATATAGGAATCTGGGCTGGGTTGGGCTGAAGAGTAACTATATTAGGCTTAAATATTAGCTGAGTGGGCTAAATATGAAAAAAGAAAAAAATATACACTAAAGAATTGGAAAATAATTAAGTTACCCTGCAATAGAAAAAATCTACAAGGCGAATCCGGCACGTAGATCCTCACCTGAGATAGAATGACTATTATTTGTTTTTCTCGCATCTCTATTTATTTTTTATTGTAGCTCTTTTTTATTTAACATGTCCTTTTTTAATAAAATTGCGACATGTTTTTTGTAAGAAAAAGAAGAAACCAAATCCATTAAAAGTTTCATGTTTATTATACTACCTCCATTCTTGTGTCCCACAGGTTATCGAGAATTTTAGATAGTTCGATTCCTGCTCCTCCCCTTATGATTTTGATGTTTATCATCGCGAGATAATTAATTTTTAATTTAGTAACTGGCTGAAACTTGATCAAATTGTGTGATCTTGACTGTTTGCTAATTTATCTCGTGATGTGTTAATTGAGGTGAATGAATTAAAGAATGCTTTTGCTATTTGGGATCAGTTGCAACCCTACTTTATGTCTGCTAGCCTAGCACATTGTTCTTCTTCGGACATCCAATGACAATGGCGCCTATCTCATTCATCAATCTTTGCCCTCACCAGTTGCCTTATTTGCTGATTCAGCCTCCATATGGCATAATAGATCAGGACATTGTGGTACGCGTGTTTTAGATCAACTTAGACATAATGGTTCCATTTCTGGCAGTTCTACTATTTTTGATTGTATTTCCTGTCGTTTAGGAAAATCTCAATGTTTTCCACTTAACAATGTTTTTTCATAACAGTCCTCATGCATTTTATTTAATTCATTCTGATGTCTGACAATCTCATGTTTCTTCTCATTTAACTTTTAAATATT